GACATGGTGTCAAGACGATGCTAATTTGTTCACAGGTGAAGTTCCTGTTCCAGCCATGCTGTCTCTCCTGTTCACAGCCGGCACTTTTATTGTCAAGGCTCAGTTAAAAAGTGTGTGTGTGTGTGTGTGTCTGTGTCTGTCCTTGGCAGCTTCTTCTAATTATACTAAAAGATATGTCCACGGCCCTGGAGGAGAGAGAGAGAGAGAGAGAGAGAGAGAGAGAATGAAGAATGTCCAGAGTGCTTGTCCTTGCTGCCAGACTCCCAGCATCCTCCTTGGCCCCTCAGACACCAGCAGATGGTGTCGTGCTGTGGCTGACTCAGACCAAACACCTGTGAGAGAGAAGCAGTGACCAAGTCTCTCACCACTTGTTCAGCCTTTGGGCTTCGTCTCATCAGGACAAATTTAATAGAGCAAAATCAAGGTCAGCCAATCACAGGCCTGCCTTCTGGCCGTTCCTCCAGGCCTGTGATAAATGTACAGCTGGAGATAATCAGTGTAATAAATAATGGTTTACATTATTTTCTGTGAGAAACTCCCTGTTAATTAAAACTTGATTGATTTCTGGAGTCTTACAATAAAAACCTGTGCACACTTTTAATTCTGAAATTATATCAATCAGAGTGAAGCAAAAATGGGTAATAGAAATAAAATGTTTTGATTTGATCAATTTTATTAAAAGTTGAATAAAAGTTGTCAACAAACAGTAAAACAAGAGCTAACAGTTAGCTTGAATGAATCCAAAAGTTTGGGAATTGAAAAGTGTAGAAGGAACATACAGTATATTTATGACGTTCTGGAGGTAGCCTAGCCTAGCCTAGCCTAGCCTAGCATCACAGCAATCTCCAATGAGCAGAACCCAGTGTGTGTTGGGTCTGTTGTTCTGGCTGTGGGGGGTGGGGCCCACTGCGTCTGTACTAACAGACACGTTACCATTCAAGTGCCGTCCTGATTGATCTGTGCTGAGGTTGACATGGAAACAGAGCATCGTCCACTCTGTCCTTCTGTTCTGGTCCCCCACCATCAAAGGCTTCGTTAACATATAGACTTTTTCATAATGTTCTTCCCTATGTTTCATCATGCACCGTCCAACGTGATTGCACTTTAATTAAAAGGTGGAATTGTGTCATAGAAGGAGGACGTTATCAACCCTGTGTTCCTGCTAATCACACACACACACACACTCCACGGCCTGTGTCACCACGATCGACTGGAGGCTTCGTTGGATGAAGGTTGTACTTAACAGTGAAAGCTGACAGAGAAGTGTGATTGATTTAAAGAGATGAATGGAAGGACCCTGAGGGAGCAGAGATGGGTGGGTGGGGGTGGGGGGTGTTTTCCTGTCATGTGATGTTAAACCTCAGGTTTTAGTGAACAGTACTTATTTTCTCTGTCCTTGAATATTAGTTCTGCAGAACTGGTTTGGCCATATCCATGACAACCCCGTGCTGATGGGCTCTAAGCCAGTGTTTTACTTTGACTTTTGAAGTGGTGTTTTATCCTCCTTTGTCTGAGTCAATGTTAATTTTTGAATTCATCACAAGAAGAGGTTTCTTTGAGGCCTGTTTTATTTGAACGTGGAAAAAATCAAAATGTCACTTGTTTGTGTGACCTGGTCGCATTTTCACGTGCTCACCCTCCCCACCCCCGTCTTTACACCACTGAATGAAAACAGAGACCAGCATATTGACTCCCATGTATTTAAGAACATGTACAGTGTTATTCCATAAACGGCCACTAGGGGGAAGCATAAGAGTTTTTAAAAGAAACCTGTCACCATGACATCATAAGTTTGGTGCCACAGTTTGAACAGCACAAAGGAGGCGCTGTGTTCAAATGTCACAGTGTGTTTGATTAGAATGAAGTTGTGACCTCAGTGGGTCAGTGGGTGGTTAGATCTGCCCCCCCCCCACCCCCCAGAACCTCCCAGGGTGTGGAACTAGCTGACACTTTAGGTATGGCTGATATACCTTCCAGCAGGGTTAGGGTTCGTCATTATTAAACAGAGACAGATTTAAATGACCTCACTGACCAAGTCTGAGTGGAAACATCTGAAGTCTTCACAGAATCTCCACTCCCACTCCTGTCACTGGTCGATTATGATTTGATCGTCAGTCAGTGCTTAATGATTAAACTGGTTAATTACCTGCTCACAAACCTGTTCCAGTTCAGAGCGCCTCTGTTCTGTGGCGCTGTGTCACCTCCTGACTTTGTCACGTTGCCTCACGTCGTGGGGGGCTGGGATATTTGTGAAAAAGTTTTTTTATTGACTGCAGCTTAACAACTGCAGCAGACTCTAATAATTCAATACATGTATTAATATATATATATGTATAATGTACTTTATGTATGAATCTGTCTCTTCCTTTGAACTTTAGTCCCGTCTGATCAACAACACCGTTTTATCTGCAATACTTCACCTGTAGGATGGACTCGGTGTGTGGATTGAAACTCAAAACAGGAAACAGGGTTAGGGTAGTTGTTAGTTGGGGTATTAGTTGTTCATGTTGATGTTTATCACCTGTGTCCTAGGGCAGTGAAGGCATCACTCAGTTGGCTGTGCCTAGATTAATGTATTTAGTTTCAGCCAATCACTGAGAAGTTCTTCATTTGAGGAGCGTTGCTGACGTGAAGGTGTCAATGATGTGAGTGAATTATATACGTGGCCCTCAGCTCTGTGTTTATATAGTTGTGAACATGACTTGAACCTGAACCCTGTGTTCAGACCAGAGCTGGTCCATCCCTGCAGACCTGGGCACAACAGTCCTCAGGGAACAGCTACCCATAATGCCTCAGCCATCTGTTCATTTATTAGTCTGGAACACCCAGGCCTGGTCCCAACGTTAGGCTTCATTAATATTCATACAACATTCATTTATGGAAACGTTGCCTGTGGAGTCGGACCATTAATGTCGGAGACAGGACAGGAGAAGTCACACTAATTGATGATTGATGGCTCTGCCACCAGCTACAGCTAATGTGCTCCTGAGCTGTACTCTTATAGACCGGGGGCAGTACAGTTGGGTCACTGTGGGTTCAGGTCAGACTGTGTGTCTGCTGCACTGTTGACCTGAGCGCTTTAATCACCCATAGGGGGCGTAGTTAGTACTCTAACTAACTGCAGTTTCCTCTGGACGTCCAGACCATCGGCTGGTTCACTGTCAGCTGACCACAGGTCTGAACTGAAGTGTCAATGTTATGGTTTCTCTCCATGATTCAGCCACATTCCAAAGACACAGACTGGGATTCAAACCTGCGCATAGGTGATGTTGTTTTAAGGCCTCAGGTCAATAATAATTCTTTTTTTTTCTTCTTCTAATTCTACAACCAAGGGTAGTTAATTTCAGCCCTTTAATTCATCTTCACAGGAGTCACATAGTTGTGTTGATGTTGACTCCAGGACTTTAACCCTTTGGTGCCTGAGTGACTTGGTTCATTTCAGGACGGTCAGTATTTGGTGCTGTGTCGACTGAAGAGCTGTCAGTTCATTCACTCTCTTCTGTTTCAGGTTGTCTGTTTGAGGACGAGCTCTGTGCACAGTATGAGTTCTGCATCAATGGTAAGTCTCTCTCACACACACACACACACACACACACACACTGACTGTGTGTCCACCCACTGCTCATCACCATAATGTACATCAGACGCCCAGGTTCCATTTTTAAATGTTCTCTGTACTGTGTCATTGAATGGACACAGACGTGGGGTCATGTTAACATTTGATTTTTAATTTGATTTAATATTGTTCATTGTTGGAATCTGCTAAATTAATATTTTCATAATTGTGTGATTGTTTTATTCTTTGAAACATTCATATTAGAAATGCTGTGTGAATTAATGGAACTAGTGAATCAACATTTCCTTCTATTTTTCTCTGATGAAAGTGTCAAACTGGTCCAACGCTGATGCTGCTCCATGTAGACGACAGAATCGTCCTGGCGCCATCTTTATTAATGTGCATATTAATATGTAGATTACTCTGCACCGACGTCATTATCATTTCAAAGACACGATTGTCAGGCAGTGAATGACGTGTAAACACTTCATTAAAACTACACTCATCACTTTAGCTTCCTTTGTCCACAGACCGGACCGTCTGATTGGTTCCATTCATTTTCATGAAGTGAGCTGCACATCCACTGCACCTGTTCCACTGCATCTTCATTTTCCTCCGCCTCCTCCCCTCCGTTTTTTTTCAAAGGCTTTGGAGGCTGATTGTCGGCCTGTCTAAAATGGGTGACAGAGCCGAGGGCGGGGCCTGGGTTTTTTTTTATCAGGCTAATTATCTCTACATCCTTTAATCCTGCTTCATCTTTGGAGAAAGTTATGAATGACATGAGTTTGTTTCTATGAGGATAGTGGATCATGTGACGTATATGACAACAGACAAGAAAAACAACAATCATTAGTAACAATTAATTAATTGTTAATAATTCATTATTTAATCACAGTAACAATCATTAGCCACAGTATCATTAGCCACAGTAACAATCAGACTCCTGCTTTATCCTCACCAATTCTCTGTGTAATTGG